CTTTCTGTCCTCTATCATCTTCTGGAGTCAAATCTACATGCTCTCAAAATTCTGTACATGCTTTCTAGTATCAAAGCTTTGCCTATAGCTGTTCTATGGTGCTACTTTGCAAACATTTTCTCCCATTTATTTCTCAATTATTTCAGTTTAGTCAATTCATTACACTCTGAAAGAAGTACAATGTGCCCTTGAGTGGTCTGTGAATTTATTTTAAGAGACAATATATAAATTTTAAAACAAAATTAAAATACATCTATAAAACAACCTACTAGAATCCTTGAGCAAAGTCCAAAAGGAGCAATCTATGTTTAGGTTTTAAGGAAGTATCTAAAGTTATATAAAATGTAGTAATGTCTAAAATTAGAAAAATGTGATGGTATCTAAAATCCATATAAAATGTGACGTGTAAAATTACATAAAATATGATAAAATCTAAAACCACATAAAATGCATCTGTGTTGCAGGAACTTGGCACAGCAGATTCCAGCAGATGTTATATGCTGCTGTACAAAACCTAACCACATACTTTGTAATAAAAGAGTTCTATCAGCAGCATCTGGACATAGGTCAAGTCTGAATAACCAGGGTATCTGCTGATCAGAGGGAGGATAAATCTGTGCGTCTCTGTAAAAGGAGCAATGATGAAGGACATATTAGGTGGTTTCCATCCCTCCAGAATTGCAGGAACAAAGTCTTTCAGCTCTGTATTAAAATATAGAGTTCTATTTTTCCCCCTAGGATTAGGTAAACAATCAGAAGCAACAAGGAAGAGTGGTACATTAAAAAACAACTAAGTTATGCCCTTTGGACCATCAATCTCTCTTTTTTCAGAATTCCTAATGTGGCCTGAAAGAAGTTAAACAATTTTTTCTGCATGATAAATGTATATTTAGGGCAAACACCAAGCTGAAAAACTTTTAAAATATTACAGGATCCAATCTGGATCAGTCACCGGAACCAGAGGTTTAGTTTTCTGAGCTTTCAGACTTGTGCTGGAGCTCATCCTCAGGGAACTTCTCTCTCACCAGGATGCGTCCTGGTGACCACACATCCTGGTGAGAGAGACATTTCCTGAGGATGGACTTCAGCATGAGTCTGAAAGCTCGGAAGACTACATCTCTGGTCCCGGTTCTCGACTCAGATTGGATCCTGGGATACGTATATTTGCCTTCGTTAATGAGTTTTAAGATATGTTGGTATAGTGGCCACTGTCATTTAGAAAAACTCTTTTTTCCCTAACTGAGAACTGGAAAACCCATAATATCTTAGCTTAGTTGAAAGTTGGACTTTGAAGAAGCAGGACAGGAAGAATGTTGATGTTTTTGAACGTTGTATTGGAAAAGGCTCCTGAGAATATTGTGGACAGCCAAAAAAACAAATAAATGGATCATTGAACAAATCAACCCACTCAAGACACAAATCCCCAGAATCAAATTATCCTATTCTTGATACATTATGCAAATACTAGAAAAGGCTCTAATGCTGGGAAAGGTGGAAGAAATAAAAAAAGAGGGGCAATCAGCAGCAGAGTAACTTAATTATAACTAAATTAGGTGCAATAGATACACTATTAGAAGACCTGAAAGACCATGTTAGATACACATCTTCATGGAAAAAATCTACATGGTCAAAAATGATTTCATGGCAGTAGAGGAGATTGTAATTGATACAAACACCTGGGCTGATCACAATCCGATTAGAATTAGATGGAAGGGGCAAAAAAACACGAGGAGATGAACTCTAAAAAGGGCAATCTTAAATCATAAAGAATTCAAATCAAAATTAGAAGAACAATTGGATCTGTTTTTTAAGTCAAACAAGAAGGAGGATACAAATTGCCAAAATCTATGGGATACAACCAAAGCCTACATGAGAGGCGTTGTAATTTCTTATATGGCTAGGCAACACAAAATCAAAACACGATGCCAAAGACAACTAGAAGAAGAACTACGTAAAGTTGAGGATAACCTGCAAAATGAACCACAAAGATGTGATTTGAAACAACAGATTGATTTAATTAAACATAAGATGGATATTATTATGAAGGAAGATCTAGGATAGCAGATAAAACGTACTAAACAAAATTTCTTTGAAAATGCCAATAGACCAGGAAGATGGTTGGCTTATAAAATCAAAAAACACAACAATAAGCAGAGAGTTACTAACCTTTATAACGCCAAAGGTGATATGGTGTGCCAGAACGAAGGAAAAAAGCTAGTGGCATATGAGTTTTATAAGAATTTATATAAGGACGATGAAAAGAGAAATAACTATGACATAGTACAGTATTTACAATTAGTCGATTTACCCAAGGTGCCAGAAGAAATAAAGAGATAACACATTTAGAGCTCTCGGTTGCAATTAAGAAACAGAAGAATAATAAAACACCTGGGCCAGATGGTATACCTGCAGAAATGTATAAAATTGCACAAGAATCTTTAAGCTCAATGCTGTTGGACTTATTTAATGAGGTTTTAACCCAAGCTAAAATACCAGCTTCATGGGAAGAAGCCTTCCTCACGTTGATTCCTAAAGAAAACACAGACCTGACACAAATTAAGAACTATAGACCCATTTCTCTTTTGAATTCGGATTACAAGATTTTCATGGCAATAATGGCACAAAGATTGGAAAGGTTCTTAGTGGATTTTATACATATTGATCAAAATGGCTTTCTATCTAAAAGATATATAAGAAACAATATTAGGACTGTTTTGGACATATTGGAATATTATGAAGTACATAATGAAAAGCAAATGTGTTTAATTTTTCTTGATGCCCAAAAAGCATTCGACAATGTAAAATGGGATTTTATGTTTAACCAATTATTGTATATGGACTTTGGGGAAAATTTTTTAAATATGTTTAAATCAGTTTACTCTAAGCAGGTGGCCAAAGTAATAATCAATGGAGAATTGACTGAGAGTTTCCAAATGCAAAAAAGGTACAAGGCAAAGTTGCCCACTATCACCATTGTTATTTATATTATCTCTTGAGGTATTAACTAGAGCAATCCGGCAAGATGAACAGATCCAAGGTTTAGAAATCAAGAAAGAGACATTTAAAATACAAGCCTTTGCAGATGATTTAGTTTTTATAATTGAAGAACCACTACAATCAGGGACTAGACTGATGGAAACATTGAATAGATACGGGGAAATAGCAGGTTTAAAAATAAATAAAGAAAAAACTAAAATGCTCGTCAAAAATATGACTAAAATACAGAAAAATGAATTGGTTGATAGAATTGGTGTTCAAATCACAAATAAAATTAGATATTTAGGGATACAACTGACTGCCAAATGCGCTACGCTTAAAAGGGACAACTACGATAAGTTAATAGAACAGATTCAAAAAGAGTTTGATATTTGGACTAACCTACAGCTCTCTTTTATGGGCAGAATTGCGGTGATTAAAATGAATGTGTTGCCAAAAATCTTATTTTTGTTCCAATGCATACCTATAAAATTAGACAAGAAATTTTTTCAAAATTTGAATAAAATGATGTGTAAATTCATCTGGCAAGGAAAAAGAGCAAGGATTAAATTAAAATTACTGCAGGACTCAAAGGAAAGGGGGGGATTTGGTCTTCCAGACTTGGAGAAATATTACCAGGCCGCAGCATTAGTATGGGTAAGAGATTGGATATTACTAAAAAATAGGAGACTATTGTGTCTGGAGGGCCATGACCTACAAATAGGATGGCATGCCATATTATGGGATCATAAATATAAAGTACATAAATATTTTCGAAGTCACTTGATTAGGCAAGCTCTTATTGATGTATGGACAAAAATTTGGCAACCAAATTATACCCAAGTACCTAGTTGGATCTCACCGTTAGAAATATATGTACACCCAAAATTTACTCAATTAGACAAGACCATAACATATAAAAATATCTTAGATGAAAGAGGGGAATTGAAATCCAGGAAAACCATCCACGATGAAGGGATAGAATTAGAATGGTGGGCATACCTGCAACTGCAGGCGAGATATCGGAAAGACAAAAAAGAGTTAGGCATTAAATTAGAACCAATAGAATTGGATAAAATAATTTTGGGGTCGGAGGATAAAATGATTAAAAAATTATACTACTATTTGCTAGATCAGGCAATGTACGAGGAACAAGTAAAAGTGACTATGTTGAATTGGAGTAAGGACTTTGGTCTTAATTTTGATCTGCACATATGGCAAGAACTATGGGCAAGAAACAAGAAGCTTACTTTGGCCACCTCTTACAAAGAGAACCTTTACAAAATGTTTTATAGATGGCATCTCTCACCCACAAGATTGTCTAAAATGTATACCAATGTTTCCTCTAAATATTGGAAATGTAATTTGAAAAGTGGAACTTACTATCATATGTGGTGGAAATGCACGCGAGCTTGTGATTTTTGGAACAGGATTAAAATATGGTTGGAAGAAATATTAGAGCAAGCGGTAGAACTAAAACCAGAACTCTTTCTATTAGGTTTAACTACGCAAAAACATGACAAAGGCGTACTTTATTTAATGCTACACATTTTAATGGCTTCCAGGCTGGTTTTTGCTCAAAATTGGAGGAACAAGGGAACCCCAACGGAAGAAGAGATCCTGCATAAAATTCTAATATGTGCTGAGATGGACAGGCTTACAATGATTCTGAAAGACAAAACGGAACACGAATACTTCGAAATCTGGGGCAAATTTTACCGCTGGTATGAATTAAGAACTGCTCAGATTTCAAGCTAATGGTAGAATTAAAAGATATACATAACTGTACATATAATTGTATATATAATTGTATTGTATAAAAGATGAGGCTTATATAGAGGTTAAGAACAATGTATTAAATTTTTGTACTATGATAGGAACTGATAGGAAAATTCACCCTGGAATGTCATGTTTGTCCATTGTTGTTTTAATTGTACTATGAATAAAAATTTTTTAAAAAAATGATTTCATGGCATATAACCAAACAAACAAACAACCTTAGTTTAGTAGCTCTGGAATCTTACCGATAGTCTTCAGAATCCTGTAAGGAGACATTAGAATCCCAGGCTCCATCGTTTGGCACAATCTCTGTAATCATGTGACAAAAGAAGTACTTAATTAATTTTGTTAATTTTAATCCGAAGAAACATAGCAGGACATTCAAAATATACTCTTTGTTTCAGTGTTCTTCAATGCCAATATATTTTCTCCATTTTTTAATGTGAATGTGGACCTAGTGATCTTTTTGGCCATCCACACTCAATAATTTCCCTACAAAGGAGATATTTGCCACCAACAATAATTATTTAAATCATTGGTTTTATTTACATTAAGATTTTTTAAGATAAGGAGAAAGAAGGAAAAAAAAAGGAAAAATAAAGTACAAAATAGATAAACAGGGAATGTCTAAATTTCCTAGAATTAGGTTACCCATGTCCATATTTCATTAATAGCAACAGTATAGTCAATACAATATAAATAAAAAAGCGAGAGTAAGTTTTTTCTGAGAAAAAGATTTTAGAGTAAAGAGAAACTTAAATTTCATACAGTACAAGCTGATATATAACATTATAACTCCAAAATGTGTTCAAGTTTACTTAAAATCTATATCAGATTTACTTCTGAAATACAAAGTTATTTTAAACATTGAAGCATATTCTCACAGCTTATTTAACCATTCTTCTGCAGTAGGAATTTAGCATTCTTTCCAATAGTACCCTTATAGCACTTGCCTTATACAGAGCTAATTCACTATACTTTGTGGGAATGTCAAATTTAGTAATATGTAATAGAAAAATAGAAGGTTTGAAATTCAGCTTTTAAAATGTGTGTCAATCTATTATAAATAATTTTCCAAAGATTGTTGAATTTTACCATATTGCTATCAAATTTGGATAAAATTATCCAACCTATTACCTCTACAAAAATATTTAAATAATAAAATGTCAATTTCAGCAACCAATTCTGGAGTAACATACCACCAGTAAAACATCTTGTATCAGTCCTCCTTCACTTAGCAGATATTTCTTTATGCTCTGATAAAGAAACATCTGTCACTGCCTAGAATTGAACTCTCAATCTTCCAAATGGGAGACAAGTGTCTTCACCTCTAAGCTACCTTGGAACTTATTGTTAGACTACCAATATGCCCACTGAAATTGTTATCAGAGCTGTTGATACTTTGACAATTATTCAGAAGTGCTTCAGATTTTTCAGAATTTACACTGTAACATTTAAAGCAGCTCATTTTTCTTTCATGCCTTCTTTAAGTCTTGTGTAAAATCCTGGAAAACATTTGGCTGTTTGAATGCTTGGACGTGGACAGAAGCAATTATTTTGAATAGTTTTTGAATGGTATGAACTGAAGGATCATGCAAGTATTAAATTAGATAGAACATTATATGTCAATTGTCAAGTCAATAAATAAAAATTCAAACAGAAGTTCACACTTTTAGTCACTTATTTTCAACATCAGATCTAAAAGTTTCACTCAAATTATCTCAAGTAACTGCACAGTTATACTTTATCTCATAATCCTATATGAAGGATGCTGAAAACTCTCTTGCATGTGTGTGTGTGTGTGTGTGTGTGTGTGACCATGTCCATTAGAAAGAATAGAAAGATTTTAACCAATTGTCGACATTTTCAAGTATTCCCCAGATATAACATGAGAAAGATAACAGGGAAATGTCAGTATTCAAGTTCATAACGTCTACGTGTTGCCCTTCCTTTCCCTACCTATTGAGTTTAGAATCAAATATTTTTTTGTCTTTTTTTAAATGGAGGGATTGGTCAGAACCACAATGGACACAAGAAAAGGTCAAATGCAAGGTAAAATGGATTCTGGTTTTATCATCAGATTTTACTTCTCTTGGAGATCCAGAGAAAGAGGTAAAAAATCCCCAAAGTTTAGATCAAAACCCAACAGTAGAATAACTCAAAAGATGAACTGTGCAAAAAGAAAGAAAGAAAGAAAGAAAAAGGAGAGGGAGCTGGTTATGTTACAGATGTTCTTGCTGTAATAGTTTCTGAGACATTTTATCACCTACCCAAACTTCAATTTTTATCACCCCATTTTCATCACATCAACATACCATTATTAGGCCCATTTTTTCCAAGGTCTTGGGTTTCCTTCCGGTAAGTATCCAAAGTATGTGGTTCCTGTGAGCAACGGCTGTTCAACTGTGATGTGTTCAGCATCTCCTGCAACTTAGTCCGGTTTCTTTCCACTCTCTCTGCTAAAGATAAAGTACTGACATTGCTGCTACCGCCAAGACTGTCCCAGCTCTCTGTTCTCCAAATCCTCCCAGCTGATGCCATCTCAGACGTGTCATTCTTTTTCATAAAAGAACTGCCGTCAAACTCCTTAGGGCGAATTTCTTCACCATTTGTTTCTTCAAAAGGTTTTGGAATAAAGGAAAGGTCCTTCAAAGAGCCAATTCCAGAGATGGCACTTAAAGATGCCTTTTTTGTGGCATTTTCTAAAGAACACTTTTTATATGGTATGTCTCTTCCAGGCAGCCTCCTGAATTCTTTTGGTAAGCTCATGCCTGTGGGCTCTCCTGTTTCCACAGATTGTGGTTCAAAATCATTGATGTATGGCTCTGGAAGGACTGTTCCCTGAGATTCCTCCTGCATCTGATGTGGGTACTCAGTGCTGTCCAAGAGCACATCTGTCAAGTAAGTGCGGATTTGAGCTTGTGGCTCCACTACTGTATTTTGAAGAGCAGTGTCTGTTGGTAGCTTTCCCTCACATGCTTTAAGCTTCTTTAGAGAAGCCTCTTCCTGGGATGTTGCTTCAGTTCGCCTGTTTATGAGGTTCCTTTTCTCTTTAAGAGCTTTAACCTTGGACTCCAAAACAGAGGTGGACTTACTTGCAGACCCTTTGTGTCCCACTGGAATCCAAGTTGGCCCACTAAGAGAAAAATTATTTACGTGTTCAGGGCACTTGTCAGGCTGTTTGGGTCTAGAAGTATTTTTAGCACACTGCTTTAGGCTGCCTATTCTTTCTTCAGGAGAGAAATTTTCCTCCATGGTCTTGTGTCCAGCTGATAACAAACCTTCTGGGGGAAAACAAAAATTGTTTGAGCAAAACCTGCTTGCTTTGCTTGGGAACATTTTCCAAAGTTAATATCTGCTAGAATGAGCTGATATCTGCTGTCTGGGGAAAGACCTTTGAACAGAGCTGTATATTGAAAAATACTAATACTCCCAAGTATGCAAAGTTCTGTACAATATAAGCTGACCTCCAGCAAATTCACGTCATTAATTATGTACACTGTATTCTAATTTCCTTAAAGGGAAAAGTGTGGTGCCCTAAAGACCTCTCTCATTATTGCTGACAACAATGCTTCTATTGCATGCTAAAATATTTAAATAACTACATTAACATTACATTACATTTTTGCCAAGAAAATCTGAACTTTACAACCTGTACAGCTCATACAAATTAAAAACTTCCAATTTTCTATGTTTATTTTGTATATTAATATTTTACCTAGTCTACTCTGGTTCTGCTAACCAGAGCCCTATTATTTTTCGGGGCCCTAAGCTTTTCCTTTATTCAGTTCCTACACTCCACAACCCAGTAGGCAGGCATGGTTCTGAGTATATATCTATAGTTATTGAAGCAAATATGTATCTGAAGTTATTGCATCACAAAAGCTTGTTTCTGGCCATTGGACACAATGCCCTGGGCCACCATATTATAAGGTTATAATAAGGTAATTAAAATAGCTTTCTTCAAAGGTAGAGTGACTCAGAAGTAAGACATTTGAGATGCCTTGGGATGAAACATATTTACCATCTTAACAAGGGATGTTATTGGGAAAACAGTTAAAGGAAGTGTGCTCTCAAGCATATTTCAGGAGCAAGATGTGAAAGTGTGGAATTGGAGCCGAGGAGCAATGCAAAAGAGAGGAACATTTTATAGGAATTCTACTTCATGATTAGAAATAAGGGCTGAACTCTTGTAAATATTGGATATGGCCCAGTAATAATTTCAGCAACTCTGTCTCTGGGGCCAGGTTACCTCCCAAAGAAGTTAGAGAGGAAATTTGCCTACACCCAAACTAAGCAAGACTCAACTCTGTAGCACTAAAAAGACTCCCTTTTCTCTAAAGGACTGCAAAATTATTGGTTTAACACTCAACACCTTTTGTTTAGGGAACCTAATTCTTAATTTATAAACTTATGGGGCATTCTCCTTCCAATCCTTGCCCAGATTCTAACTAGGGGAAACTTTTTCCATGCACTTTAGCAAGGAAAGAGCAGGAGATGAAAAGTTTCAGTGGAAGAGCAACAACGTTACCATCTCCTAAGGAGACCAGCAGAAATACTCACCCAGCTTTTGGAAGTTCCTTCCTAGGAAAAGCAGGGGAAGGAGCGCATCAGCGCCCGCTCCTAAAACTCACCTTCTTGGGAAGACATTTCTCCTAAGTTCATCCAAGCCAAAAAGGTTTGTGAGAATGGCTGCCCATTTCTCAGAGACTGGCTACTGAAGAAAGGAGGCACTAAATTAATTCTCAAGAAAAAGAGGACTTTCTTCGAGCTTCCTCCTTCCGGCTCTCCGAGACGCGGATCATCTTTTCAAATGAATATTGCCGAGCGAGGTGTGTTTTTCTCCCGCTGACGGCCCACGCTCGGATCGCTCAGGCTGTTCATTAGAAAAAGTGCCCGTGACCCTGGCAAGAGGCCTCAACGCAGCGTTTGGAGCCGATAACAAGCGAGAAAACAGAGCAGCTTAAGCCTCCAATCCTCGGGGGGGGGGGGGGGAAATCTACAGCTCTGCCAAAGTTAGTGAACTAGGAGAGCCCCCTTTAGGCCTTAGCCCGTGTCGACGCGCAGAAACGCTGCTTCCTGCAGGGGCTTTCGGCCCGTCGCCTCCCTCAAAGAAAGCGAGATGCGAAGGCAGGCAAAAGTGGGGAGAGGGGGGAACCGCCTCCTTGGCTGGAGTTGGAGTAACTCTTCTCAGCAGCAGTATGACCTCTCCTCCTACTTCCCCCCCCTCTTCCCCCCTCTGCTTCTTCCAGCCAGCCAGCTGTGTACAAGGAAAGCCTTCGGCTTGGGAGCCAGAACGGGCGTTTGGACTGCTGGAAGCTGCATACCAGACAATCCAACCAACAATCATTCCCGCTAACCACAAGAACAGGCTGCTCCCAAAGCCTTGCCTGTTTAGCAGGGCTCTGAGTTGCCATGGCGACGGCTCAGTGGAGCCGTCCAGCGGAAGAAGGAGAAGAAGGAGGAGGAGGGCCGGGGGTGGGTGGGAAAAAGGTGCCAATGTGGCCCAGGGAATTTCATTCAAATATATTCCCCTTGACTGGCCAAAGAATGTTCTTAACATATTTACAGCCTGTAACTATACTTCAAGGCCACATCTCTTTCCTAGTCTACTGAGGAGCATTTTGATACAGCAGACAAAAAGGAGGGGTGAGGGCAAGTTAGACCATCTCTGAGTGCTATTCAGGAATGCTCTTTAGTTTAGCTTCCTTTTTTTTTTTAATAAAAACCTGGCTAGAATTATATTTTTTTCTAAATTCAAAGATTTAGAAAAACAACAACACGTAGAGGCAGTTTTGCAGGAAGGAAAGAATCTAACATATGTAAGTAGCCTAATACACGTGTTTAATTTATATGCGAGATATATATATCTTCTTCTTCTTGTGCCATAGCCATTATCGGACGTTGGCGATCATGTTGGCGATCCTGTTTTTATCAGCAGCCGCACGAAAAAGTGCTGCTGAGTTTTGTCCAAACCAGTCCCTTAGATTTTGAAGCCACGATGTTTTTCTTCTGCTTGGACCTCGTTTGCCTTCAATCTTTCCCTAGAGCAGTGGTTCTCAACCTTTTTAATGCCGCGACCCCCAACCGGTCGTAAGTCGAGGACTACTCAACCAGTCGTAAGTCGAGGACTACTCAACTGGTGCAGCACCGTTTGCAGAATGGGACTTTTGGTGGGCTCAGCAGGGCAGAGACAGCCTGGACAATTCCTATTGGCTCCTATTTTGAAAGCCAATAGAATTAGACTCTATTCAAGAGAGTCTATTGGCTTTCAAAAGCCAATAGAATAAAAGGGAGTAGCACAGCTAAGGAAAAGGGGGGAAAAAATGGCAGGACTGCGTTGTTTGGCGACCCCCGTGAAATGGTTGTTCGACCCCAAATGGGGTCCTGACCCACAGGTTGAGAACCACTGCCCTAGAGGATTAAATGGAGTATGCCGTATTTTTCTGGGTGTCGCATCACATGTCCGAAATATTCTAATTTTCGTTTTTTAATTGTTTGGAGGATTTCCCTTGGCTTTCCCAGGGAGCTTATCACCTCCTCATTTCTGATCTTGTCAACCCAGCTTATACGTAACAGCCGCCTGTAAATCCACATTTCAAATGCTTCTAGTCTCTTCAGGTGGCCCTCTGTCAGAGACCAACTCTCTACTCCATAGAGCAGGATAGAAAAAATATAGCATCTGACAAGCATATATAAAATGAAATTCAACGGTGAGAAAAATAAAGCTTTATATTTAGGCAAGAAAAACCAATTTCACAAGTATAGAATAGATGGTACCTGGCTCAACAGTAGTAACTGTGCGAGGGATCTTGGAGTCCTAGTGGACAATCACTTAAATATGATCCAGCAGTGTGCTGCAGCTGCCAAAAAAGGCAATACAGTTAGTCCTCGACTTACAGCAGTTCATTTAGTGACCATTCAAAGTTACAACAGCATTGAAAAAAGTGACTTATGACCATTTTTCACATGACCACTGCAACATCTCCGTGGTCACGTGATCAAAATTCAGATGCAATTAGTTCATATTTATGACAGTTATAGTATCCTGGGGTCATGTGATCACTTTTTGAGACTTTCTGACCTGCAAAGTCAATGGGAAGCCAGAGTCACCTAACAACCATGTTGCTAACGTAACTGCAATGATTCACTTAACAACTATGGCAAGAGAGGTCATAAAATGGGGCAAAAGTCACTTAACCAATATCTGACTTAGCAACATAAATTTTGGGCTCAATTGTGATCATAGGTTGAGGACTATGTGTACAGTCCTAGGCTGCATTAACAGAGGGATAGAATCAAGGTTATATGAAGTGTTAATACAACTTTATATTGCCTTGTAAGACCACACTTGGAATATTGGTATCCAGTTTTGGTCACCACAATATAAAAAAGATGTTGAGACGCTAGAAAGAGTGCAGAGAAGAGCAACAAAGATGATTGGGGGACTAGAGGATAAAGTATATGAAGAATGGTTATAGGAATTGGATATGTCGAGTTTAATGAAGAGAAGGACTAGGGGTGACATAGCAGTGTTCCAATATCTAAGGGGCTGCTACAAAGATGAGAAGGTCAGTCTATTCTCCAAAGCACCTGAAGGCAGGACAAGAAGCAATGGAAACTAATCAAGGAGAGATACAATCTAGAACTAAGGAGAATTTTCCTGACAGTTAGAACAATTAATCAGTAGAACAACTTGCCTCCAGAAATTATGGGTGCTCCAACATAGGAGGTTTTTAAGAAGAGACCAGACAACCATTTATCTAAAATGGTATAGGGTTTCCTGCTTGAGCAGGGGATTGGAGTAGACAACCCCCAAGGTCCCTTCCAACTGTTAAATATTAAAGTGCAGAGATATCACAACAACAAAGATACATAAGTAGTCCTCGACTTATAACTGATCCCTTAATGACCATTCAAACTTATATTCCCCCCCCAAAAAAGCTACTTATGACCTGGTTTCAAAGATATGGCCTCTGCAGCATCCCCACATTTATTTGCCCTTAGGATTGATGATAGGGAGGTTGCAGCAGCCCTAACTGCCTATTTACCCCCCCCCCATTCTGCCATTTGGGGCCCCCACAGGTCTTGGACCTGCTTCCCACCTTCTCACGTCCCATCCCCATCACCTAGAAACTCCAGACCTTATCTTGTGGAAGTTCCTTACAAGCACTGCAAATGGAGAGCAGGGAATAAGACATCCCTTAGTGAACGTGAGGTTAGAAGAAGAGAGGTAATGTCTAAGGGAGTTACTTGGTGGAGGCAAAGCAGACAGGCTTCCAACTTCTCCTAACTGCTACTTCAGTGCCAAGTAATATTTATTTATTTATTTGATTTGATTTGTTTGACACCCATCTCACTTTGAGCAACCCTGGGTGGCTTACAAACATTAAGCCATTGCTAGAGAGTCAAGGAATTTCAGAGCAGGACCCTGAGCAGAATTTGATGCCATTCACTTGAATCCATTTGATGTCTTATTTCCTGCTCTCTGCCTCCACCTGCCTATAAAGATGGTGGCCTCCTCCTACCACCCCCCATCAGTCCCGTGATCTGCCTTTGCTTTCTCAAAGTCTTGGTTTGAATGATTGGGATCTGTTGTGGCAGTTGGAAGAGGAGAGATGGTAGTGATTTCTCCCCATAGCACACAGCCTTCATTCCCCATCCTGGGCTAAAAAGAAACTCTTTGAATTGTGGCTGTTCTGAGCATGTGGTACCTTGGGGTGCCCACAGAGGATGGCCTTTGTGGGGACCCTGAGGGATGGGAACTGGAGCACATAGTCCCTTGGGGTGGGAGAATCCTTGGAAGGTCAGGAGCAAGGCCTGCATTAGGCACCCTAGGGTCTTCCCCACACCCAGGCACCCTATGCTCTGTTTAATAACCCCATTGGGGAAAGTCATTAAGCAAAGCGATCATGTGGGCGCCTCATTTAATAGCTATCACACTTGTGACTGTAATGAACAGGCTCCATTATCATTGCCGGTTAAAGATTACTTGTATTGACAAAGCTATGGTTTTCCCAGTTGTAGCATAAGACAAAGTTGGATGGACTTAAAGAGAAGATGTGGTGAACTAAAGTTGGTGGCATAATGAAAAGCTGGCAAATAAATCAGCTCTTTGAAATACCTTTCTGGACAAAAAGAGGATTTGGGATCTCCCACAAGTGCTCCAGACAGCTGTTCCTCATGAGGAGACCGCAAGACAGTGATCTTCAGTGGTCTTAGAACTCTGGGAAATGAAGGAACACCATTTTTGCCCATACCATTTCTGTCCAAATATGGTTAGAACCTTTATGGACACAGAGTTTGCATATTTCTTTTTCTAATCACTTTTAGAAATTGCTTGTTAATTGCCTTTCAGATATTAGGAATCTTCAAAAAGATAAGTTTTTTTTTAAAAAAATACCAGCAAAATAAATTTTAAAAACAGACTTAAGGACTAATATATATATATATATTAAAATAAACAGCAAATGGTGATAAGAACTTTGATTTTGGAAAAGATCTTGGTTGTTTTGAATTTTTAAAAAAGTGATAGAATGGGATTTT